AATGTTTTGAGAAACGATGTACAAATGCGCTTTACACAATTGATGTGTGTATGGAGTGGGATAACAGTTGTATGAGCCCCTAATAAAATGTTAAAAATAAATAAATAAATAAATAAAAATAAAAATTGTGATGACAAAAAAAAAAAGTATATGTCACCACATATGATGTACTCTGATCAAAATAATCAAACCTGAATCTACTAACTCTTGACACAACTACCAATTTACAGGCAACATGAGAAACAGAAGAAAATATTAAACAACATGTCAGTGATCTAATCAGCAACATTCAGATGGGAGGAAACTTACAGGACCAAGGACCTGTGCTCTTCAACAAATTAATTGTAAATTTCAAAAGAAAGGGATATGAAGGGTGAAACCTTATTTTTTTTAATTAAGAACCAGAAATCTAAAAGTTTATCAAAAAGTTGCAAAAAACAGTTATAGCAAAAAGCTGCAGGAAGCAAAGCAGATTTAATTCAAACACAAATAAATAAAAAATTATAATACTGGTGAGTTTCACTTTGTTAATGCGTGATGAGCAGTAATAATGTAACTCTTCCAAATATAGTCAATTGTTTAAAGAAAAGTTAGTAACAGTGGATTTTATAACATATAGATCTGCAACAATAGGCAAAGGGCAGGACAGGACCAGTAGAAGTATACTGAGGTGTGATTGTAATACAATGTGTGAATAGCTAGATTACCTAAAGATATGCTGCAACAAGTTAAAAGATGTATACTGTAAACTAAACATTTCCAATAAGAAATACTATCTCCAAAGAGAAAAATAATTAGATTATTGGTGAGGGTGTCAAAAACCCTTACTCTTTAGCTATATTTCACTGATGAGCATATAGAAAATATCTGTGGAATTAAAATTTATTAGAATGTCTAAATAGACTTCGTTGAGGGCAGTAACTTTCAAAAGGCAGAGAAACACATATTAAGTAGAAAACAACTAAAACATGAAATGTCATAACTAATAAGCCAACGGGGAACATATAATGAAATAATAACATACACTTGATCTGAAAGAAGGCAGAGAAAGACAAAATATAAAAAACAATCCGAACAAAAACAATAAACCAAAAGCAAGTTGGTGGATTTAAACTCCAATTAAAATACAGACAAAGGTTTCCTCCCCGCTCCCACTAACATGACTTGAATTCTATCTTGCAAGTCTGGCTAGACCAGAGGAGGTACACTGGTACAGATAGGAACTGAAAATACAGGGAATCCAGGACGGATGAGCCCCACAGGACCAGTGGTGTGAGTGGCGAAACAGGTAAAGGGAGAATGGGTAGGAAAGAGGGAACCGATTACATGGAACTGTGTGTGACCTCCTCCCTGGGGGACAGACAACCGAAAAGTGGATGAAGGGAGACGTCGGACAGGGCAAGATATGACAAAATACCCATTTATAAACTATCAAGGGCTCATGCGGGAGGGGGGAGCAGGGAGGGAGGGGAAAAATGAGGACCTAATGTCGGGGGTTTAAATGGAGAGAAAATGTTTTGAGAAACGATGTACAAATGCGCTTTACACAATTGATGTGTGTATGGATTGGGATAACAGTTGTATGAGCCCCTAATAAAATGTTAAAAAAGAAAAAAAAAAAAAGAGACATCCCATTATTGGAAATAATGATTGTAAACAAGGAAACTAAAATTTATTTCTATAAAAACAAACAAAAAATGAACATGAATTAAATAAGCAGGGCTCATAATTTGGAATATCTCTTGGAAAAATTGATGCCTAGAGCTCTTGTTTTTAATTTTATATTGATTTATATTTTGTTTGGAAATAAAATTAAATTGAGGGGAAAAAATGCAGACAATATCACATTGTAAATAAGACATATGACTCAACTGTATGCTACCTATAAGAAATGTATTTTAAATACAAAGATGAAAATAAAAGTAAAATGAAAATTTATATGCGACTTTAAAAGTAGCAAAAAGAAAGTACCCATATCAATACCTATATTAATATGATATAAAGGGGGTCCCAGGCAAAAATATTACCAAGGATAACTAGGATTACTTCATAAGAATCAAGATGCCATGACAATCCCAAACTTTTATACACTTCATGATAGGACTTTAATATATATAAAGGAAAATAGCAGACTGAAAAATATAAGATATAGTCAAGTATGATGTTGAATCAAAAAGTATTGCTATAAGAAATATTGCTTAGAAATATTTATTAAATGAAAATATCAAAATGTGAAGCTATTGCTTCTCGACATTTTCTCCATCTACTATGTGACAAGAATTTGCTTCATGTTTTATTGGCCTGTCATGCACATATCATACCATTTAAGAGCTTGATCATTAGGCAGAGAGA